CGTACAATCCGGTGACCATCCCAATGATGTCCATCTGGAATTATTTCACCTTTAGGGGTCAATTTGAGATCTGGAAATACGGGCGCTTCGGGTGCATCAGGCTCGACATCGCTGTCGGCTGGTAGAGGCGTACCTGGCTCGTATTCATACTCATCTTGTGGCGGATGCAACCTGGACTCAAGAGGCACAGCTTTGGGTGTCTGCGGAATGACCTGGTCCTCGAGGCGATCGGCTTTGGGTGCTTTCGAGTCAATCAGAGCTTTCAAAGGAAAGATGAAACCCTCGGATGGCAATTCCAACCTCTTTGTTCTTTGGATTGTCAGTGCACCCCAGTTGACATGATAATCTGCGGCTTCCAACTTGGCAACTAAGTATTCACCCTTCCAATCATGACCTGGTTGGATGTAATACCCAAGGAAAATTCCTTCATTTGCTGTTGGGGAGAGCTTACCTGATGTGTTATCCAACCTCTTGGGGTTATTCCAGAACAACACCTTGGCACCAAATGGAATGTGCATTGCAGGGAACTCTTCACCAAACCTGAGTTGCCATGGGGATTCACTGCCGTCAAGCTGGGGGCTTGCATTGATCGCGGTCGCATGATGCTGCATGGCCAATGGCCACATCTTCAAAGGAAGTCCTGATTGCAACAAGTTGCTCCGGGCACCTTCCAACATCTGACGAACTTCGCGCTCAGCAAAAGACTTTGATGAATCTACATATTCAATGGAAGTTTGGTGTCTGTAACCCAAATCCTTGATGGCCCTGATCAATTCTGGGGAATTGTCAGTGTACACAACTTGAACATCATCCTTTGATCCAATGAAGTGATTCAAACCATCGACACAGCTTTGTGAGTCCTTGGACTGGCTAGGGTAGACATACCGATATTGGGTGTGCAGATCTTTCAACACCAATGCAACTTGCTCCCCCCTGAAACCCTCTTCTACGTTTTTCTTGATGATGACATGATCCCCAATGACATGGTCACCGAACACTTCAGTTTCAATTCTCTTCTGACCACCCTTCTTTCGTGCCTGAGGTGCCATCATCCTTGCTCGTTGGCAAGTTCTGCAAAAGGGGTTCTTGGGGAAATGCGTGTACTGATGTTGGGTACTTGCAGCTTCGGTCAACAGATCCTCAGTCTTGCGGCTTCGGACGTACTCCTGCTGAGCGTCATCCTCCACCAGCTCATCCAATTGCTCTTCATCTTGGGCTTCGTCCCGTTTGGCTTTTGAGCTCGACCGTGAGGTCGGCATTGCAAACAACTTTCTGAGGTGCTTATCCTTTTGAAATTGATCTTTGGGATAAACCTTGCAACTATCATCCAAAACTGGGACATGACCTTCGATCTTGAGCTGGACGACCTTGTCATCTGGACGGACTAGGATTGGTTTGCCATTGGCAGGCCATACGAAACTGTAACCCTGATCTACACATCTCGTTCCTACGGAGAGCACAGCTGGGGTATGATCAAGTACATACGGATGCACGGGATCTGGCAATGCAGACAACTTGACATCAGCAACCTCGTTTGCCTCAGTCGAACCATTGGCTGTGACTAAGGAAATCGGATGCTCGGCTGCACGGCAGTTCTTGGCGCTAACATCCCTCAACATACCCTTGGACACAAGATCGGATTCACTACCTGAGTCGACAAGCCAACTAACACCGGCCTTTGGCGCGGCTGTGGCAATTGACGGGAATCGACCAATGTCTCTAAGGGCTTTGGGACCGCTAATGAACCTGCACTCTTTGCATGTGATGTCACGTGTGTCCTCATTCCAACAACAAAACCCACAACTAGGTGCAACATCTGAATCATGAAGTTTCACAGTTTCCTGAAGCTGTCTTGCACGAACCTGAGCCTCATGCTGTTCAACCTTGGATGAAACCGGAACATCTTCAGCTGTCTTGTACACCTCAGTGAACTCTCTTGGACGGTGCTTGACTGGGACTTGACGACCAACTGCTTTCACCTCGATCACATGTGGGGCCTTTCGGAATCTAAGGCGCTTCATGCTGACGCTTGACTCATCGGAGCACGAAGTTGCCTTCGGCTGTTTTCGGACGATGCATGCAAACTTCTGGATCAGGCATGGAGCGGCTGTGGAGTCCTTGCTCTTCTTTTTGGGAGCGGGTGAATTGGCCCTTTTGGTGTCTTTGGTGGCGGCAGCAGCTTTGTCATCATGCTTATAAAAACATTTGTCACCACGTCTGCACTTTCCCTGGGCATGATAGATACATGGGGTTTTAGCCATTTCTTCCTTGGACATTTTCTTCCCCTTATCATCTTTGTTGCCCCTTGATGGTGAACGTGTTTTGGTTCTTCTGGGTGATTGAGTTCGAGATTTGTCATCCTTGACATGCTTAAATGGACATTTCTTCCCCTTATCACAGGTACCCTTTTGGAACTTATAGCAAATTTTGTCACCTTTGCCACCTCGTTCCTGCGATCTACCACGACTTGGGGAGCCCTTTCGGCCACCGCGACCATCGCCTTTGGCAGGTGCGGCCTTTGTGTCCTTGATCCCAGCCTTGTTCTTCTCCGCGATGCGGTTCCTGTTCTCCCTCAATCGTTCACGATCGATCAGGTTCTTCATGGATTGGTGAAGAAAACTATAAGACTTTTCATGGGATTTCTCATGAGCACGGTCAAACATCTCAATGTCATACTTCAGCAACTGACTTGGTCGGATCTGCCTCAACAAGATGTCCCTTAACACAGCATCATCGGGGGTGACAGCCATGCCAGCTAGGGTAGCATCCCATTTGTTGATGAATCTTCGGAGATCCTGGACAGTATCGCCTACTTTGACAACACCCAAAAGATCTTCTACTCTGTAAAGGCTACCTGCTTCTTCTGATGTCTTGAAGTAGTCCTCAAACATGAGCAGAACATACCTTCCCCTGACCTGGATGCCTTTTCGGGATTGCTGCTCCTTGAAATTCAAGATCCTAGTTGCGAGGTCCCCTCCGGCTGAGCGCGTGAGCGCTGCTGATAACTTTGTATCCAGCGTGAGGAACTTTCCAGGATCTTGGAGTTTCTTCTCCAACTGCTCTCTGGTGCACTCTTGATCGTACACCTCATTGAGCCAGAGCCACGCCTCATCCGGGCGATCTGAACAGCTTTTCACTTCATCCCTGACATGGTTCTTCCAAGTCCTATACGACTCCGGAGCGGGCATGTTGTTCAGCTTGATGAGTTCGGCCTCCTTAGTTTTTGGCTTATCCTTTTCTTCCCTTTGGGTTAAGGCTTTCACCAATTCAATAAGATCTGAGGGACCCATAACTTGCTGTTGCTTGGTTACGCTCTTGGGGGAGTCATTTGGGGGAGTTTTGATAGCTTCAGTGGGAGTGAAAAACCCTGACTGCGTTGGCAATTGGGGCTGGTCGTTGCCGACCGCCGGCTTTTGCTTGGGACTGCCACCTTTGAGCAGCTCATCCAACTTGGCCTTTGCTTCTTGTGCCAACACTGCAGGCGTCTTCAACTCATGAATCGGCTCGTCACTGCCTTTGGCAGCCTGTGCATCGGATGCTTTGGGAGTGGCAATATTGAAGTGGGGCACGCTAGTGGTAGCGGCTGGCTCGGCATTCAGGGCGGATGCTCTCGGAACGGAGGCATGCTGCGCTTTGGCAACATGCTTTAACTGCTCCTGAAGGTCATCGATTTGGTCCTGAAGGCTAAGGTTCTGAGCCGCTGCCTCATTGATCTTGTCGGCCATCTCCTTCTTGTAGTTCTCGAATTCGGTCCTCAAACTGATGAACCTGGCCTGATCAATTGCAGCCTGATCTTCATATTGCTTCTTTGTGGCAGCTATGGCATTCTTTGCATGTTCAACTGTCTGTGCATAGGAAGCTTCGAATTCACTAGTGATACGTTGCCTTTCCTCTGCAATTTTCTGATCATGCTTTGTGTTTGCCTCTGCCTTTACATCCTCTATTCTTTTGTCATTCGATGCCTGAGCCTGATTCAACCTGACCTCCATCTCGTCGCCTCGTTTCCTCTCCTCGTTGACGGCACTAATGGCCTTACCTTCAATCTCCTGCAGCCTTTGCTCATACTCCTGCTCCTGCATTACGAGTCTACTTGACCATTCGTTTCGAATTGAGTCAACTACTCCATGCATTATCTGAAGGTGCCTCTGTTCAGCTTCCCTCATGACTTGCAGGGTATTCCCACTAGTAATCTGGGACAGGTTGTTTTGTATGAAGGTAAAGTACGCGACAACGGGTTGGAACATTGTTTCGTCATCCATCGGCTCGGGGTTGCCCCCGGCCACATTGGGCACAGCGACAGCCGATGGACCTGACCCTGGAACGGCGAGAGGATGGTCAATTGGGGTCCCCATAGCAAAGTAGTGAGACTACGGCTGATAACCTGTATTTTACCAGGTCAACCGGAAATGGGGTAAAATGCAACACAACCGTTAAGCTGCTGGCACTGTTTTGAACCAACGCTACAGAGTAGATCGATGATATATATACTACATGGTTTTACTGCAGGAGTTTTATGAATCACTTACTAAGTGGGATGATCCTCCGAATGAGGGATGCGGGCCAGGGTCTCTCATCTTAAGAACCCCCCAAAAAATCCCCAGCTGCAATCCAGTTTTGACAAACGCTTGTGTAGAAAACAACTTGGCATGACCAAGTTCGAGCCAGATGTTGCAAACTTGTGAGTTCTCCCATCTCATCTTGTGCCACTGCTGGCCATTCCCTACCGTCGAGCAATGCACAAGACATGTCATCAGCACCAACCTCCAGTAATCATCCTCTAGGCCCAGTCCAATGGAACCAATCGTTCCTAAATGTTCATATTCAACACCCCCAGAGTCACCATGATTTAGGAGGGGATGAAACCACATATCTGGGACCATGCAATGGGGGGAAGATGAACGGTGGATGGAATCACTTCTTGTTAAACTACGGCTACGGTCCTTACGATGCTTTGCGTGATCCCAATCAACTTCCAGCTACGGGGAGCGGCGAAGCGGGGCCTTAAATTTCAAGGTGCGTCCCCCTTTGGAGGCATCTCTTCCACATAGGAACCTGCCGATGCCAACCCAGATGGCCTGTAGATGCCTGTGCTTTCTGAAGGGGTCAGTGCTTCACCCGTGAAAACACTGAAAAAAAGGGTGCCGCAACACGCACACTGTGACACAACTTTGTCCGAAATCTGGTTGCCATACTTTCTGCCTAAAACCCATTGCCACCAGGCCAGAAGCCTGAAAAATCATCAAGCTGGCAGTAAACCAATGCTCAAATGACTCAAATCCATCAGATCCCTGGTTTCTTTTCGCGCATGGCAAAGGTAGGGAAACTTCAGAGGCCCTGAGTGACCCATCTCTGCACACAGTCCGGCTCATCGTAGCCTGGGATAATTGGGGCAGTTGCCTTGAAAGGTGGGAAACGTGGCAATGGGAAACAAGTAATTTCATACCTAAACGGTTCCAAAAATTGGATATACCTTCCATTTATAGTAGAGTTTCCTATCACCCCATGCATGGTAAGTCTACTAAGTTTGTTTTCCAACATTAATGGTGAATGATAATATTATGAATACATTATGAGCGGCTCACGTTTAATCCAAGGATACTAAAAGTAAGTAAATCCATTCATAATATTCATTTGTACCATTCGATATTGATCCATGTCCATATTCATTACATATTTGATCCGTATTAAATATTCATCATATTCATCAGAATCATATTCCATACATTGAACTCCATAATTTCATACGATGAATGGCATTCCCTTACTCAATGGATCAATGGCATTCCCTGGCAGTTTCCTCGTCCTCCAAGTGACCGAGCTGGGCTAAGGCCTTCCGGTCCAAGGCGAAACCGATCAAGGCCAACTGATCGCTGTTGAAGGCCGCCTACGCCGAGTCGCCAAGTCGGTTTTTGGTGCTGAACGATGAATTTTTATGGAACTTTCGATGAGGGTATATGGAACTTAAGATGATGTTCCAAACAAAACATCATCTTAAGTACAATAGAACTAGAGTATCAGGACGGTAATATCACCAGTAGTCAACAATAGTCAACAAGCGTGGCCATATTGGAGACTTTTTGCCAACAGAAATGGGCCAACCTGATGGATAAAACATGGATCAACGATGATGATCTTTTCACGGGTGAACATTCTCAACGGATGCCTCAAAGGTTACCCCTTCGGAAGCACCGCACAAAAGAAATCCGTGCTGGGACGGTCTGAAAATAGGTCATCCCCGTCATCCTCACATCCACTTTGTCATCTTTCCAATTTTAACCATTTTGGAGGGTCCCAAAATATCCCATGTGAGAGTGGGAAACATCTGAAGCTTCCCGGAATGAACCCCAGCACTCTTCCAAGTTGGGCCCGCCTTTTGATGCTTAGGGTTGCTGTAGAATTGCAATGCTTCATCCCTATCACCTCAGACCCGGGTTGCCATGGTCACTTTGACACTGCAGAGATCTCAACTGATGAGTATATTGCGGCCTTGAACATCAAATGAGAGCATACTCTGGGATGCAACATGATGCAATAAATCTTAGATATCTTAGACTCCTGGCTGACTACCAGTTGCTGCCAAAACATCAGCGAATACAGGGAAAAACTAGGTCAGGAGTTCCCTTGGTACCGTACCTCCCTGCGACTGAATCCCATACACTTGTGGCTTGAACCCCTCAACATATCTATATTGTAAAACAAGTGGGTAGGTTGATCAATTCCCAGGCCCCATCCTGCTGAAGTCTGAAACAGTCCATGATTCTAGCTGGCTGCATTTGAAACCACCTGCCATTCCACCAATTTGGCTGGTATTTAAGCAATTACCATGGGGTTAATCAACATAGACATAGATTGGGAAATTCATGATGGCCCAAGGAAGATGATCTACATGCGGTTGGTTTTCGAGATCTATGATGGTTGACTGCGTGGCGACTAACCAAAGTAAGAACATTTTGGGGAGGTGACCCTTGAAACCATCATCGAAGGTAGTAAGGTGACGTCATTGGTTACCCCACAAGATATGACATACCTTTATGCAACACTTAGATAGATTAGTAATAGATTAGTAATAGATTAGTAATAGATTAGATAGGATAGATCAAATATATAGAATAGAATCGCATAGGATAGACTAGACTAAACTAGAATAGACTATATTTTGAGGAAGATAAATAGATAGATCTATAGATAGATTGGTAGATCGATAAATCATTCTGTAAATCATCACCATATAATTACAAGACTTCAAATCATCCGCCCAGTCGTTCTCCATGTAAAGTAAACATATATATATATTTATATTTACACATATATATCTATCACAATAAAAAAACACATGTAATACACATCCTGGTGAACATTCCATCATTCCATCATTGCATATCATTGCCAACCGACCCGTTACAAGATAGCATCCATTCCACGGAAAAAACATATCCCAATGTCCAACCCATTCGGTCGTCCACATGTCACACAATTTTCCAATCCAACTTCCAGTCCCAGCCAAAACTCATAGCTCATTATATACAGTATCACTAAATATCATTATAAATCATTACAAATCATGAAATTGCCTCAAAATCATACTTCATTCAAGCCAATGTTGTATCATTACAAATCATTAAAAGGCTATATCTTATTAAGTGTCATTGGATGCACATATATATATATATGAACATAAAACATGAACCATTATTCAAACATCATTATTTATCAATTCCAGCTAATGATATATAATGATAAAGTAGTATATATCATTATATATACACCGGTTCAAACCACAAGCCATACTTGGGGGCGCATCCCACTTGGTAAATGGGTTATACCCCAAGTTAGATTAAAATGGACTATCCCCTATTATATATGGGATGAAATATGGGTTATGGATTATAAACCACGGATCCTAAGTGGGATGCACATCCACTTATGTATATATATATAAATGAAAAAAACGTGACACATAAACATATAAACACACATCAATGACTGTATGTGTGTAAATATAAATATATCAATCTCTCTCTCTCTATATATATATATTATAATTCTATAATTATATATGTATATATGTGTGTGTACATATCATTCCAAGCCACAAGCCATAACCATCTCATAGCATCTCCCAGTCCTTCCAGTCCCAGCTGCGGCATTCCTTGTGTCCCTTGGCCCGTTCCATCAACGGCACCGCCGTCTCCAGCGGAAGCTTCGGCGTCAGGGCACCCAGCTTCTGCAGGGCGCGCAGGACACCGTGGAAGCCTTAAAGGGAACAGCATTGGCTTGGAAAAGGAGGAGTGAACCAGCAAGGGAAAACTGGGAAGACCCAACGAAAAACCAAGGAAAACCAAGGAAAACCAAGGAACAACCCAGGAAAACACCAGGAAAACACCAGGGAAAACCAAGATTTACTGACTCAACTAAATATAACATACATCACAGAACCATCAAATGAGCCAATTGATCATCAACATCAATCATCAAAATATGAAAGAAAGGCCCCCTCAGCAGGAGGGGGTATCAACCAAAGAAACAAACCAACAAAAAGAAGGAAGAATGGTCAAGCAATGAAACTAAATGTAATCAAAAAGAAAACAGGCAAGTGTAAACCAGCTACTGTAACAGGGTTGAATGTAAAGGACATCTGGAAACGCACGGCTTTAATGAATCAAACAGTGATATTTTCAACCAACAAACATGGGGTCTGAAGCAACAAATATAGACATATGGAAATGTCAGAAACAAAAGTTAGAATCTATTAACCACAACAGTGGGCTTATGAAGCAACAAACATGAGGATCTAAAGCAAAAACAAACAAATCTATGAACAAAAAACATGAGAAGACAACAACGAGAATATAGCTTTAAACAGCTACATCACCAAACTGAGCCATAAAAGGATATGAAGGGCACATAGCATGGATCTACCAATATTTTTTTCATTCTGGAAATATCGGCTAGAAGACTTGGTGGATGAACCCATGCCTTGCAGCCACGGTGAGAAAGATTTCATCCATCGACTGGAGAATGTTTCACAGGTCAGGGAACCACAACGCGAAAAGAAAACTGGCTGAACATTCATGAAACAAGCACAGCACAGATTCAAACGTGCAATTTCCAGCCAGCCAGGTAGCTAAAAAGGAAATCCTCGCAACGCACGATGACCGTCTGATGCGGTGGGTAGACACTGTCATCCAGGTATGAATGCATGGTGTCATTCCACCTCAGTGCGCAGATGGCACGACAGCTCTAGCAAATCCACGGAAATCGCATGGTCTTGAAGAAAGATCTTGGCATGTCGTGAAACACAATATATCACATATATCGTTTAACCCAGCTGTGGCCCAAAAAAACATTCTATACATATATCAAATAGATAAATAAATAAATACATACATAAATAAATAAATAAATGTATATATATATATATATGATTAATTATATATGTATATCCATCTGTCTGTCTATCTGTTCATCTATTTATCGTTATATCTGTCTATCTCTCTGTTTATCCATCCATACATCCATCCATCCATCCGTAAATAGATACGTAAAAAACTTGTTTAGACATATATATATATATACATATTATATATATATCCAAGCAATTGATTGCTAATTAGCTGGAACACATATCCAAACACAATTTCTGGTGGCAAGTTGCAGGTCCATAGCATTTTCGTAGAGGACTCCGTCATGTTCGATGCTGCTCAACCTCGGCTTGCGGGGAGACATGACATATCGAGAACTACGCATCATGCGGGCATGTGCACCCGCGTATGTAATGTAAACATATATGCTCGTATACATACATAAAAAAATATATATCTATACATATCTATACACTCATGCAAGCCGTTGATATGGAACATTGCATACGCACACAACACCCTGAAACACCTTGTTACAAGAAATGCAGCCGCAGGCAAACTTTACAAATTGAACACGGTTGGGGGGTTCTTTTGCCAAAGGCACCAAACTGCGGCCCCAAACCTCCAAACCTATGTGCTAAATCATACCGTTGTAATCACACTACTGGCTCAAAAACAGCTACTGGCAATCAGACCCCTGTTTGATGTTTATCCAAAAATGACCAAAGAGCTTATCCCGCTCCCGTTTTTGTCCATGGTTCAATCTCCATTTTTAGTGGTTGAGTTTTCCCCACTATCCAAAGTTTGCCTAGCCCTCATCTCGACCTAATTTCCAATTCATTTTCACAGGTTCAATCCGCATCTTCATTGGTTATATGTAAGTAGTCAATCCTACTTTATTTCTGACGATGAATATGCCATCATGCGCCACGAGTTTCACCACAATATTTGCACAGTATGACATCCGGGTAAAGTCACCACTTAGCCCTGGGCCCAACTCTCATCCGGACCGCCATTCACCTAGTTGTGCTCAACCTGCCTGGCCATTGATGATTTACGTTGAACTGCTCATAATCCATGGTGACGTCGCAGTGAAGACATTATAGTTCATCCAGATTATAGCCCCATTATCTTCATGGTGGATTGATGTTGATGTTGATTGTTAAATTCAGCTATGATTCCCATAAACACCCCTTTGAATCAACCAAAGTCTTAGGTATGTCTGGGTCAGCACCATGAAAACCACCATTGCCACTAACCCCACTAACCAGTCGGAGGATCATCCCAGTGACATAGTAACTTATCAAATCTATTCAAACCATGTCTTTTTTTTGGATGGGATCATCCACTTTTGGGGACTTACTATCACCAGCGACCCCACAAAACATAGCCCCAACATAGCGGGTGATCGACACCCTGCGACCGAGCGACAGCTGCCAGAGTTCCTGCGCCGGGAGTTCCCGTCGCTCTGGACCCACGGGACGGATCTCGAAGAAGTTCCGCAGCTCGCGGCTGCAGCTCTGTAGCCTCGAAAAGGCAGAGCGTCGCCATGGGGACCCGGCCGCAATGGTGGGACATTAGGATATCCATTAGAATATCAACTATGTTAGCCATATTTGGGAAGTATCTAGAATATCATGAATATCCCATATTTTCATAGTCAGAAGACTTCCCAAATATGGAGATTCGTGATATTCTAGATACCCTCCAGTAATCAGATGTGGCTGGGAAATCCCCGAACTAAATATTCTAAATGGAGGTTTAGAGCTGGGAAATTCATCTATACATAAATATTACATAAATGGGATATGTTCCATTGCCATGTTTGATTACCGGATGGAAACTCCATCTATAAATGGAAAATCTGTGAGAACATCGGGTTAACACGAGTTAACCGATTTTATCACTACTGTAGAGCCAGGATTTTGCTAACCGCCCAGTGTATTCATAGGAAGGAAAACCGCCGAGAACCGCCACTAAACTAACAAAACGCTATAGAAATCCATGGTTGTTTACTGTTCCGAAATGATCGGCACTCATAAGCAGTCATCGTTCTTTTTGACGCCAATGTCAATCATATTTCATTTGTAAACATGGGGATTCACCTAGGTAAGTTGGATAAAAACTTGGCAACATTCTGGATTTATGCTGAGTACATCTATAGTATATAGCATTCAATGACTATATGGGGTCATCAATAAGCTTATACATCTTATACCCAGGGAACGTGCAATACAATTACAGCAATAAACTTGACAAACACGGAGTGTTAGCATCGTTCAAGGAAAAAAGGAACAATGTTTTGAGAATGTTGGCGGAAAGTTTTTTTTTTGCCAGGGCAATGCTTTGGCCAACATTAATCAATATAGAATTATTTGTCACAACTGGTGACAAAAGACCACTAGGAATGGTCATGGGATAAATGGTGGTTAAACAGAGTGCAGTCAGTGCATGTACAGTAAACTCCCCATTTCCCCAACATGATGATTATATGAAAAGCAATGTTCCAATATTCAATAACCTCCTTCTTTGGCGGCTCCTAGTCTTAACATGTTCACGCATGTGTAACCAATCCCCAACCCTCGCGACTTAAAGAGACTACAGATTCAAGACCTGAAAAGTACTCAATTCTCCACCCAAATAGTCTTGCTCTCATTGGAAGTACCTATTGAAGACTGAAGAATGCAATCCTCACCACCAAACGCGGGCAAGGAGCCAAAAATGGGGTTCTTTGGCCATAAGTACCTCAGGTAATCTCAAGTCATAGCTAAAAACTCTGGTCCCACATCTTCTCAGTAAGTTCCAGAGTTTGTCTGAGTCTAAACCTTTTGGAAGGGACAACATTGCATGGTTATCATTGACTCACAGCGAAACCTTATTTTGACGGGGTAGGACGATAGTTTTTAGAACATGCTGATTTTGGATCAGTATACCTCATTGTTCGGAATACCACCCACATGGTTTGTTCAAATTGCTGGTTTGATCTGCGGTGGCCCTCATCGATAGCCCAATGTTCCCTCACACATATCTGGCATCAGAATTGCTGATCCCTTCTCTGATGAACAAGAATCCACCCAACTTTCTATGGAGCTTCATAGATTTAAACATGTTAAACCAAAAAGCAATGTACCAACATCAAAACGAGAAGATCAATCTGGAAGTTCACACCAAAAGTCATCTTGGAGAGAAGCCTACTGAGATGTAACCTTCCACCACTAAGATCTGCCCTGGCGATATCCCTGGAGGCTCCGGAAATACTTGGGGCCGCATCCCCTAAGTGGGCAATAACCAAACACCTAACCTAGACCTAATATATATATATATATATATGCAATGTATATGTATCTAATATATATATATAATATATATATAAATAGGTTATAAAATGTTATAAGTACTGTAGGTTATAAACCACTTACTGGGTGCGTTGCACATCCAAGTACACCCATCAACCTGGAACTATCTCCACAAGGTGCACAGAAGACGTCCTCCGCCAATGCTGGAGGTCTGCGAGAGTTGGCACGGTGCTTCCAATTGGCATCCGCCTTACCTCAGCCATTGAAAAATGAGGATTTCACCATTGAAACATTGGATTTAACCATTGACAAACTGGGATTTACCCATTGAAAAAGCTGGAGCCCCCGAAAAGTTGAGATTTCCACCAGCAAAAATGGGAATTTCACCTGCAAACAATTGCGGGTTTTGGTAATAACCATGGAGATTTGCGGCTACTGAGGGTTCAGTCCCGATTCTGGATGCTTCCATGGATGCGGGCCCTATCAACCTCCACTACCAACTGTTGGTGCAGTGGTTCCAAAAGTCAAGTGGTGCTCCTTTGCCGCGCCTCCCGCGGCATCGGTATCTCCGTGGCTCTCAACTTCTGCATCATTTCGGATTCCTTTTAAAATCTAGAAATATTTGAACTCAATAAAGCCCACTGCAAATGCCAACCAACCAAAAACATCCAAAAACATCCAAAAACAAAACATCCAACAACATCCAAAAACCACCACCAAACTTGGACGCACCAGGCAGTTGAGGGCAGTGACAGGTGTGCCAATCATTCAGGATCTCCACGTCAAAGTGTCGTTCCTCAGGTCTCATGGTTGGCTATATGGCTATGCGACGAAAAGCCTTTAGTGCGACATAGTGCAATGCTGTAAGCCTACCTTTTTTTCTCAAAGCTGCGGCCAAAATTTGGTGGTGTCCCCTTCCCAGAATCCATCACTTCCATTCATTTCTCAATCTCAGATACACTGCAAGAGAAAGAACGAAACATGTTAAAATATAATTAATACAGTGCAGTACCTGTTTAGATATGTTCATATAGACATTAATATAGACTATTTTCCCATCGAAATGCCAAACAAAAAACTAAACAGCTACCATTCACCAGTCGAGTTTCGAGTTCCTTCGCCATGGCGTTGGTGCAGGAATGGTAAAGGCCCATCAGCAAGATCTTTCTCCTCGAGGCGATCTTACTGGGGGTATTGCCAATATCTCCGGTAACATGTGAATACCACCTCTATTACTGATCTATACTCCAACTGATCGCCTAAATCCACATGTCCACTCTCCAAATATTCCAATTTTGAAATGCAATGCAATGCTTTTGTTGATGATATCCGTGTGTATCCCCACATGTGTCAGCTACATCACAATTTTTCCCTGGCCGATTTCAATTAAACCTCTGGTAAACTAACATAGTTATTGAAAATGGCCCATAGAAATAGTTGATTTAAATTTACCTATTAAAAATGCATCTTTTTCCATAGCAAACTGTTAGTTTACCAAAGGCAACAAACCTCATGATTTCTGAACGGAACCTGCCGCTGGGAAAGTGCGCCGCTGCCCGGAGATCCGAATCACCGTTGGGCACCTGGGGAGAACCCTTACAGCAGGCGCTTTTCGCGAAAACCACCAGCTATTTGTACAACGGGCACATGATTTACATGATGGTTTTAAACCATCTTGAGAAATATGAAAGTCAATGGGAAGGATGACATCTCAGATATTGAAAATAGAAAATGTACGTATACTGCGTCACGGCACATGTGTAGCAGTGCACACAAAGAGGATGGATACAGATATTTTTTGTGGAGAATGAACTTTATGCTTCTTGAAAGCTTTACAAAAGTCCATCTCGGTCAACTGCGGGCCACATTTTCAAGTCTGTTTTGTGTGGCAGGTGTGGGACGGTCAATTTTCACCTCTTTTATATATATATACAGTATATTGTATCTCTCTCTCTCTCTCTAAGATTTCCAAGCTTTTGGAGGGTGGAAATGCGACCGGGGTAAGGCACAGCTCCATGCTAGGATTCTACGGGGAAAGGATGTGCAAAAGAAGAAACCAAACTGTATATTACAAACTAAATGTCCATTGCCGGGTAAGTAAGTCAGATTACCGGAAAACAAAACAGGACTAGGATGCACTGGGCATCATCACCACAGGAATAGATAGGAATGGAACAAATTAGAACATCCCCCTCCCCTTCAGAACAATTCTATAGTTGTGACATGTTTTGACTGGAAAAGTACTGGAAACTGAAGAGCCTGGGCCATTTTTGTCAACGCGCCCGGTCATCCATGGTCATCACCGCTGCGCCGAAGTGACTTTGCGCAGCAGAAGGGCTTTTCGCGTCTGCTCACAGGGCCGTCGGGCATATGGAATCGCCGCCTCACTGCCAAGGTGAACATTGTCCAAATGGGATCGCTCCATACATGGTACATTTACCATGAGTTTCTGGGAGGGGAGCCTTAAATGTTAGCAAATAGTTTATGAAGAAACATGGTGGAAAATCCTGTGGGAAAGAAACATGTCTGCAACTGGATGTCAGGATTTGTCCAATGGCAATATAATTGCACTGTTAAATTATCAGCAATGTAAATATGTGTGTATATATATATATGTGTGTGTAAATGTAAATTTAAATAGGCCTTTTCCAGCATGCCTACGAAATGCTATTTTTTACAGGGAAAAACATCGACTGTATAAATATACATGGACATACATGGACACGTGCTTTATGTATTTGATGGGGGTTTTGCGTTGCCAAGCAACACCAAAGGGTGGTACTGTGGTGTAGAATCCATCCCTAAAATCACAGCACTGCGTTGATCACTGAGTGAAATCACCAAACTTTAGAATTTAGACTTCCTAATCACGAATTATAATATGGACTAATGTATAATTTAGAAAGTATAATTTATATCACCAACCATAATTATATTTTAATAGTATCAGTATAATTTAGACTTCCTAATTATATAATTATGGAACTATCCCACTATGGTTGGTACGGCCACCCAATGATGCTTGGATTTGCAACTTACCACAGAGAGAAAAGGAAAAATCATCTCAGTGATGTCACACCCCCTAAATTTAACATGGAACTCCCACACGTCTATAATCTGCAAAAACGATGTTCCGTGATTTTCTACTGAATTATAACCATATTTTGGGTTCCCAGTTGGGTGCAGGGAGTGTAGAAACCGAGGGAAATAAACCATCGACTACAACAGTCAAATTGCAACCCGACTCAGGTGCTTTTTGGGTCCTGTCCGGCCGGGGCAGGTTTTCTGCTTCTGAAAAAAACCATCTGAATTCAAGTGACTGCTGATTCCAACAGCTAGCAGCTAGCAAATAGGCGACATGGTCATTAGGTACAGTAAGTCTCAGCATTTCACCATGGGAATGCTTGTGAACCCTCGGCAGTAGTACCTTTCCATGAAATGTGGACCGTCATCCCACAGAATGGGCCAGCAACCCGCCTGTTAGTACCGGGCCTGGGGCCTCCCACCAAATGACTAAATGACAGAACATCAGCCCAAACATGCAGGGTTTAGTACGGCCTAATCCTTCAAACATAGGGCGAAATGTATGGCTTACATCCATTGTTCTTTTTGGATGGGGATGGATCAGAAGCTGCAGGGGGATGAACATCGCCAGCTATGGCAGCTACACTCCAAGGCACCTGGAGGATATGATCCCTAGCCTCCACAGCTTCTTGCAGCAAGTGCTGCAGGGTATGATACTCCTCTTCAACTTGCCTTGGGCGGATCATAGCAGAAAAAACCTTCTCTTCACATCAAAATTGTTTGGATTTAGAGTCACCCTAAAAATATGGTATTATAATGTATTGTAGGTTTTGAACGGTTTTGACAACTTTCGTCATGTCAGGGGCACAACACATGGAAGTTGGTCGACTCTTTTTCGAAGGTATGGTGCCGCAATGGCTGAAAACGGACTTGCTTCAAGCGCATCACTTGCATAGACACATAGGCCAGTTTCAACGCATGGCATACCACGATTAGAATCGTCATCCCAAGCAGGCAGGCAAGTAAAACACATTTCTAACCACAAAGCCTTCAAACTTGCAATGTTTTTTCCATCCAACCACCCCAAAAAGAGAGCAACCCTTTCAAGCGCCTCAAGAAATGGAAAAGCGACGATTACAATCCCAAATCCACAGGGATCCACAAGGTTCGATCTGCTTCGGGTCATGGTAACTCTTTGTTAGGCTTTGTTTCATTGCCCTCATGCGGGTGGCTTGGGCGGCTTATGCACGCATAGACCCCCAAAACAACTTCACCGCTTGTGCCACCAGTGGTGCAGCATCTTTAAACCTAATTTTCCATCAGTTAAACATCATCAAAAATCATCATCATGTTATATATGTTATTAAAAAATCATATGAATCCAAAATTTTCAAAACATTCCAATCAGTTTCCCATGATTTTCGTTCCCATCCCCCCTTGAATTTCCGGCCCATAGTGGCGCGCCTCGAGGGCCTTTGACGCAGCTGCTGCGTCTTCAGCGCCAGCTCTCCATGGAGATGCCGGAGCTCTGGGACGCCCTTGTCGAGGCTGCGCAACTTCCTGGGGAAAACATGTTGGTTGAGCCATGAAACTATGGATAGCTATGGTTAACTATGGTTAATGGGGTTTATAACTATGGATAACTATGGAAAACTATGGATAACTATCCTGGTTGGTTGAGCAATTAAAGATAGAACTATCCCCTCATGCCATCTCATGAAATACTAGCTGGTTGACGATGTAACTTACTACTTGGTTAAGTATGGATAACTATGGTTAAACTATGGATAACTATAGATAACTATGGATGCCTATATTTGATGTAGCTATAACTATAGATAACTATGGTTAATGGGGTTTATAAACCAACTTTGAACTATCCTTACTACTATAGGTATAACAAATGAGAGCATACTTCTGTCAAATAGGTATAACGGATGAGTATCTAATCTCATGAAATACTAGTTGGTTGATGTTGGTTGACTATCCGCAAACTACTTGGTTGATAGGCTTTAGTTACTATGGGTTATCATAATTGGATTTAGTTATAAAACTACCTAGTAAATGGATGATAGTTGGGATTATAGTGGGCCATTCAAAATGCTAGTTGGTATTATCATACTTGTCTAACAAATGAGAGAATACTTCTGTCAGATAGGTATAACAAATGAGTATCCCATCTCATGAAATACTGTACTAGTTGACTATCCGCAAACTACTTGGTTGATAAGCTTTATTTACTATGGCTTATCACCGCTGATGCTTTTTGGTCCTTTGCTCGTCCCTAGAGTAGCCAATCAACCATTGGGACCATGGTATTTTTCATGGCTCATGTGGGGATGAGTGATGAGCAAAAAGCCCCAGAGTCGGGACCACATAGGAGATATGTGTGCAGGATAGGGGCCCCCAAGGTTTAAAAGTTGGCAAAGAATCTATGGTTTAATGTAGCTATAACTATAAATAACTATGGTTAATGGGGTTTATAAACCAACTTATAACTGGGGGGGGGCCATCCTGTAGTATGAAGCATTTATTGATTTTTTTGGTACCAAATTTTGACCTATACCCATGTTGATGATGGGAATACCGAAGAAACAGTCACTAACTGGGAAGATCATGGGATATAATATAGACTATGTTGACGTTTACTTTAATGTGGGAAGATGTTGATGTTTCAATATGGAGATTGCCTAAAATGGGGATACAGATACCCCAAAACCATGGGTTTCAATACTCAGATGGTCCAATGACTTGGATGATTTGCGGTACGCCGACTTTCGGAGACCCCGTATGGGGATACAGAACTAACAGGAAGTATGCCAATCTGGGAATATCGTGGATATAGAAACATCATGTGGGATTGCAAACCTCCCCCAACTTTGGAGCATAGTCAGCCACTCCATCCCCTACAATCCACTGCCAAGGTTCTGTAACTCAAGCTCCTCCGCCGAGATTTCCACGGTGCAACCATTGGTACCTGCAACATTAGACCTCCCCACCACATGTTCAAGGTATATAGAAACATCTACCTTCTGGCAATGACAAATGGGCATGGGAAAGCGGTAATGTTGAATGGGAACATCATCTATCATAAATACATTTTGATTACGGACTGGGGTACGCATAGATTCAACTGAAACTGGAGACAATTGGGCATGGTCAGTCATCACCTGAGCTCAGGAGGGCTGTTTTGCCAAGAGAATGCCGGCCTTCCAAGCCAAGCCAATGTTAGCATTCATGGTTTGGTGTCTTCCAGTGCCATCCCATTTTTTAGCGAAGAAAGCGTATTACATATACCTTTAGGCTGTCCATCCATAAATCAGTTGGGATCCTTCGGGAATTATGGGTCAAAACTCGGGTGTTTCCATCCATTGGTTTTGTTTCTCTCACTGGTTATGTAGGTAACTTGCACATGGATTTCCATGTTCATACCGCCAAATAGATGTTTGTCTGAAAACAGGACACCACCAAAAACAACCCCCATTTAAATACCGATAATACAGTAAATTGCAATGCCAAAAATTGTGGGGTATATACTCGCCTTTTTCAGGCAAGCCCAAATATCAAATGAAGTTGCTTGGTCAAAAATCTAGGAACATCTCCAATAGCTACACTGTATCATAACCCAACCAAATTGATGGGCCAAAACCGGCCGCATCTGGTGAACATCAAAATAGGTGGTAAGCAGCTGTTCATCCCCAAAAATCTGGAAATCGGGTATGCCGGCATACCTCCAAATGGAGGCATGATAAAACCATGGGATTTTTTGGGATGCCATTTTCAAACACACATTTTCAAACCAAAATCTCAGATTATGCCGTCACATTCCACTAAAATATCCCATTCATAGATGATTTTCCTATGATTTTCCCATTGAAATACCCACTGACCTGGAGAGGTTGGTCGACGCGAGGGCCAGGAGTGTTGGGATGGACCTGCAACGTGGAGAAACGGGGAGAATTTAGAACAATTGAAATCAATTTAAGCACAAAAAACATAGAATCTATATGTCAGTTCAGTTGCTTTATAACTTGGATTTATGTAGATCTATAGTTCACGGACTAGTTGAAGGACTTCATGGTGGTCGGCTTAACCAACAAACATCACTGGCGGGACACCACCTGCTGGGGGGTATACATCATTTTCAGACCCATCCTTTTGTATACAGGCGCAGCATTTTGGGGTTTGAACCCAATGACCATTTAGGCATTTTAAGGGATCAGTGATGAGACAAATTCCATCATTCAACCTGGCTATCTGAGCAGTTGAAAGGAACTTTCCCACATAACATGGCCATACATGGTCATAAAAATTGAGCAGCGGGCACACCGGTTACCGATCTCTACTCATGCACATATAAAGCAAGACCAGTACCTAGGACCCAGATTTTTCCCATAGAAACAGGTTTTTCCCCATAGATTTCATGCTGAAAAAGTGGTACTTTTCTCTTCCTGGGCTAGAATGCAGCTCCTTGCTGCCGAGCATCGCACGCTCATGCAGCACCACTCCAGCCCCAAGCCCCGCTGCAGGGGTGTCCACGGCAAGGGACGGACCCTTCGGACACGCCTGGCACACGAGCGGCACGAGGAGCGGCACAGTATGGAGGCTGTGGAGGTTTCATGGGTTCATATTGCTTCATATTGTTTCATCATTCACAAAGATGGATGGACACATCATTTAAACATGTGAAAGAATATGTTCACATAAAATTAACATTTTAAACTTTAAACATTTAAAGATGTTCATGTTCATTCATTTTCACATGTTCTTGACTCTCAAAGAGATGTTTTTTCCATGTGAAATCCCTCTCTTTGTTGGTCACATTCCAGCCATGCGACGCTAAGGGTGGCGGCTCCGGCTCGGAGCCGATGCACGGAAGGTGATCACCTCAATCAACCGGCACAAGGGGATGAAAGTTGATGAAACATAGAGAAGTTCTATGAGAAATCATGGGACCTATATACTAAGTCAATGATTTAAACTAAAACTAATAACTTGTGTTATAAGTTAGTCAAAAACTTATATGGGTTTCAAGACCCAAATGGTCTTGTGTTTGGGTGATTGGGGGTACTCCCACCTTCATTCTATGATATGTTATGGGAAATCTTGGGAAATCTTGGGACATACTAAGTCATTTAACGGGAAATGTCATGGGAAATTTAATGATTTAGTGGACATTTAATGGGAAATTGAATGGACATTTGAATGGGAAAACATGCATGCAACTTGGAAAATTGAATGGGAAATTCAAAGTCCCCCAACATATTATACCTCATGGATTCACCATTGGACTCACCATTCTTCATTGATGATCTCCTTGTTGTTGGTCGAAACCAGTCAGCCTCAATGGGATCCAATCTAGTTGTACAACCTTCAACCGGCAAACACTTGGCTTCATACTACCTTCACATGCCCCCATCATTTGAATGAAATCCCCAACCTAAATGATACTAAATGGAGGTTTATAGCTGAGAACTGAGAACATCACAGTACTATCCATGGAGGGGTCTTCCCACCATGTTTCTCCCAGTGACCCATGCGATGACGTCGTTGTGCTTCCTCCCTGAGCTGCCTCTGTTTCTCCGGAGGAATCCGCTGGATGTCCTGGCGCATCCGTGAACGCATTGGGGAGGTGGTTCCCATGGTCATTCTGGATACCCAAAGAATACCCTCTGGTAAACTAACATAACTACGGAAAATCACTATTTTTAAATATTTTTAATGGGTAAATCAACTATAAATTGCCAGTTTCAATAGCTATGTTTGTTTACCAGAGGGTAACAACCCTGGAAGCCCCAGAAAGAAAGAAACGTAGTCTGTTGCTATGAATAAGAATCAGAAAGACCCGTTGAATTCGAGAGTCAAGGGATTGGTTTAAGGGAAAACCGACACCGGAAACCATGGTGTTTACCAATATAATAGGGAGGTCCTGCTGATTTCCCCTTCAACTGGGAATAATATTGTTTGAGCTGCTCATGTTGATGTTGTTACATCCCCACTAAAAGGAAAGAACAATACTAAACTACCCACCAAAGGCTGACCCATCAAGTGAGGAATACATGACTTCCAGGAGTGAAGGACTGAACCGCAAACAGTCCCAGCAGGATTGCTTTCAGGAAAAACACGCACAGTATCCCCCTATATTTTTCGCTGGTGTCCATGGTGTCCTGTAGATTCTTCACCAATAAAACAAATTGATTTTCAAAGACACTCAAACCCACCATTTATTTCGATGATTTTCCCACTTAAAATCATTTAAATGTCCATTCATTAAATTTCTGCACGTTTTTTCCAAACCCATTGAAACAACTTGACCCCGTCAAGGATCCGTATCTCCAGCTTCCGAGAGCGGTGCTGTTGCCAATGGCACTGCAGAGGAATAGAAACGCATAGTGGATTGCCTCAGTACTCTTAAATGGTGGTGGTCCTTCAAATGGTTATACCACCAAATAGCTGCTTGAAAGGAAAAAACGATGATAAACCAATGGAATTATAAAGATATCCTATTTTCAGACAAACCCAAATGTAGGGTTTTCTGGTAAAATGTTCCATCCAATTCTAGGAATACGGGAGCCCAGATATCCATTTTTTCATGTGTGGTAGATTTGGCTACTCGAAAATTAAAGGTAAATGCACCGTATGTGGAGCGTATGGGTGAGATTTCCGAACTACAGCCCCAAAAGCAGGATGAACACCTGCAAATTGGCAATCTGCAAATGGGCAATTTTTCTTCACCACTGTGACCCGTTGCCATTTTTCCACCGTAGCTGCGGGTCGTGGATCTGCATGGTGATCTTCAGATCAAACTGCTGGTCTGCATCGATGGGAAACAAACTCCGGAGCATCCTTGGTTAAGACTTAAGACCAATGGTTGGGGCTGACCCACAAGGACCTAAGGATCAACCAATGGGGAAATCAACTATCATCTTCAGCAAATCCAGGATGACTATGGTGGCCAGGCTCCACCTTGAGCTGTGATGGATCTGGTGGGCATCCAAAACCATATCTCTTCTTCCAAGAGCTGTGATGTCTGTGATGTGGTAAACCCAACAGTAAACCACCCCCAATTACCATAGATGGTTTCCAAATGGTAGGTTTATGATTGGTTTTGCCACATTAATGGATGACTCCTGTATAGGATAGATTCTCGTTGAAACCATCAATGATTATAAAATGCACTACTGTTCCAATTACATCATTAATCACTCCCAATAATTCCATCAGTATAATCACTCGTTGATGTAGAAATTAAATAATCATGCAGTGAGTGACCAGTAATAATCGCGGAATCCCAATATTCCCAGTAAGTTAAGCATTCCAGTATTACTTTTGCTTCCTGTTGCAGTCGCACCAACTGTTGGCTGTTGCGGGCACAAACTGCACCTCAGCAACTTTTCCCAGCGATAGGAAAACGTAATCCTCCATTGATAGCAAGAATCAGTTTTCCCCGCATTGAGGTTTATCATTGCTTTCCTCTTAAAACACTGTTTTCAATCGGGTTTAATTACCATCATTCTCCCCATCTATCATGAACTTTTGAAACTCACCCTTTGGTTCCTCTTTTAATCCCCTCCCCCAAAATGCCAAATGCCCCTTTACAAACTGGGCATAGCATTGGACTCATTATTGTTGACGTCCAAAGAATGGAGCATGTCACATCTTTTTACCGTCCATTTCAGGTGAATCTGGAAATGGATTATCATTGAGTTTGCCACTTGCCACTTATACACCCTATTAACTAAAAACATCTATGTATGTATGTATGTATGTATGTATGTATGTATCTACCTACCTATTTATGTATCTATCTATTTTAATCTAATCTAATCTAATCCAATTTAATCTATCTATCTACAGTATCTATCTACAGTATCTATCTACAATATCTATCTAGAATATCTATCTACAGTATCTATCTACAGTATCTATCTACAGTATCTATATACAATATCTATCTACAGTATCCATCTACAGTATCTATCTACAGTATCTATCTACAGTATCTATCTGCAGTATCTATCTACAGTATCTATCTTTTTACCCAATCAATCAATCAAACAATCAATCAATCAATCAATCACTAAATACATCAAATCAATCAACCAATCAAACAATCAATCAATCAATCAAATCAATCAATCAATCAATCAATCAATCACATCAGTCAAATCAGTCAATCAATCAATCAATCAATCAATCAATCAATCAATCAAATCAGTCAATCAATCAATCAATCAATCAATCAAGTCTATCTATCTATCTATCTAATTTATCTAATTTATCTAATCTATCTAATCTATCTAATCATCTATCTAATCTATCTAATCTATCTAATCTATCTAATCTATCTAACCGATCTAACCGATCTAACCGATCTAACCGATCTAACCTATCTAATCTATCTAATCTATCTAATCTATCTAATCTATCTAATCTATCTAACCTATCTAACCTATCTAATCCATCTAATCCATCTAATCCATCCATCCATCTATCTATCGATGTATGTATCTATGTATAATCCATCCATCCATCTATGTATCTATGTATCTTTGTATCTGTGTATCTATGTATCTATGTATATACGTATCTATGTTTCTATGTATCTATGTATTTATGTATCTATGTATCTATGCATGCATGCATGCATGTATGTATGTGTATGCATTTCTCTGTATATATATATATCATAGGCCATAAACCACAATTAACCTTCTTATGTTCAGCACCTTAGCTATCGTTTCGGCACCACCTTGGAGGGTGCCTACGTATCAGCCCAATTTTTGCTGCGTCGCTCCTCTGCTCCATCGGGGCCATGCACCAAAATGGCCGTGGCACCACAGAGCTTCACGGGAACTTTCAGAACTTCATCACCTTGGAACTTTCAGAGCTTCATGAGTGGAGCTTCATGGGCTAAGTTGGTGGACACTCCAAACAACACTAGGCTTTGTGATGATGAAACATGGGGTGGGAATTTCAGGGCCCGAAAATGCTGGTACTGTACAACAATGTTTGACCATAATTTTGTGGGCATATCCCCTTACATGCTTATTGAAGAAATGGAGTGGCTTAACGGAACGTCCACAGGGAAATGAGATAAAACTACACCGAAAATCACAGATCATACATCTATTGTCATATCATTTCATGTCATCTAATATCGTATCATTTATCATTATACATTCCATTTCATAAATATATATAGAACCAATACAATATATACATACAATAATATATTATTATATCATTTCCAAATAATATACATACAATATTATATATATATAGAATGTATTGTATTATAATGTCATATCAAACCACTTCAGCGGCAACTGCAATAATCACCAACTGAAAACCGCACCTGTGGGTCTTTCCCAAAAAAATGAGCACGGGTTGAGTGTGAGCCATCTAGATTCTCTGGCAACATATGACAGCGGTCAACAGCCAGTATTATCCCGCAGCCAGCATCACATAGTTCTGTCAATTTTCATGGCTCCATTCAATATGGAAAACATGTTGGTTGGGCAAGAGTGATGTAACTTCTCACTCGAGCATAATGTATGACATCGTATGACGCAGTCTAGGCTTCCTAAAGGCGCTTCTTCCGCGGTCAGGGTGGTGTGAAAAAGCACACACACACGCACCAGCCAGGTGGAAAGAAGTCCTTGCAAACAAGAACCCACTTAGGGAACTTGGGCTTCCAAACCTTTTGGCCAAGCCACACTCTTTGGCCCACTTTGGCCGTTCGCTTTCCCAGTACAGCCTCATTCATTGAAGGGAGGGCAAATGCAAAAATTTGGGAATAACATGGAATAACAATACTTCACTTACACTCCTTAAAATGGACCACTGAACCACGAAGGGTTTCCAGTGGGAAAACCCCTCCCCTGGATGCCCTTCAACATACCCTTCAACATACCCTTCAACATCTCTTCAGGTTCCATACTGGCTCTCTGGCAGTCAAAAAATCAATGGCCCAAATCACTGACCATTTCCAATAGAACAAGTACATGTACAAACACACAATTAAGATATAATATATATAAGTACGGATATATTTTCTATTTTCTATTTTTTATTTATGATTTTATCAATTAATTAATTTATTTATTTATTTATATATATATATCTGTCTCTCTCTCTTCTCTCTTCTCTCTTCTCTCTTCTCTCTTCTCTCTTCTCTCTCTCTCTCTTTCTCTTTCTCTCTCTCTCTCGCTCTCCATCGCTCTCTCCAGAGTTCAGTCTTGCGTATATGTATATACATATGTATATATATATAATATGTATACATATATATATGTATATGTGTATATATATATATTCCAAATAATTATATATGTATATGTGTATATATATATATATTCCAAATAATTATATATGTTTATGTGTGTGTGGATACACGCGTAATTATACATTTTGTTTTAGTGAGGGCCCAATCTAAGGGGACGCAGTTCTGGTGGGAACGCGGGATGGATGCGTTTTTTGCTTCGCGGAAGCACTTAGAAGCTGCATGGGCTTCTTAGAAGGGTTTTGCTTCTTAGAAGCAGCCTCTTAGAAGTAGAGGCCTTCTTAGAAGATAAGTTTTCTTTTTGATTTAAATTGTATGTTTAGCTTCTTAGAACCCTTCTGCTTCTAAGAGCTTCTAAGTGGCAAAATTCATCTTTTCAGCTTCGAAGAAGCCCCCCCGGAATCCATCCAGACTTGCATCCCCCTACATCAGCCCCTGATTTAGATTATTTGCATATACAATCACATACAATACATACAAGTATGCAAACATGTATCACAGTTCAACAGCCCAAGTCTGCCCCGACTCGCCACGCCACTCTTGGTGCCGCGACTTGGATTTGATGAATCCCACGGCGCAAGCGTGCCAAAGCTCATCGCAGCGATCCAAGGCATCCAGAAGACGAAAGAGCTGAACCCCAAAGTCTTCCGAGTACTCGGCATCGTCTTCCTGACATTTTACACAAAAAGGGCCAACGGGACCTGGATATACCTGGATTCCGGACATGATGGACATTTGAATCCTTAAAAAATGGCGAGATCTAGCTTGATCTAACCATGGTTGGAAGTTAGTAGAATCTATGGCGCCATTTATGGCCCGGAATGGCTGCAGAAAATTGTCACTGGCAAGTGACCAGCAAAGCAACACCAAGCCCTGTGTATTGGCACGGGAGGTGAAATGGTGAATATGTAACCGCCCCAAACATAATGCAGTTCCAGTTATAAGTCATATATATATATGTAAATAATTTCATATATAATTATTTACATGTAGCAACCATAGCCAAATTGGTTGCATCCCAATTTGTGGAGTTTACCACGCTATACCCGACCCATTTTATCGCCATAACCCCAACAAGAAACCCCCAAGTCTCCAGAAAGGTGGCCAAGATGTACCAAGCGTCAACTACCAAGAAGCACTCATTGGGAGCGGCCTCCTGCGGTCAATCCAGGTATATAGCCTGACTATATATTATATAAATAGTATGAATTATGAATTCTGGTTCGTGTTTTACCCGTTAAATAGTTTTCTTAAAAATCTAAATGATGGCAAATTACTATTTGAATCGATGCATCCCTATCAATCGACACCGGCGTGTGCAGTATTAGTCCTGAACCAACATTAATCATTATAGACACCCCCAAAAAGATAGAAAGCAAACTCCAACTACAACAAGGGGCTTGCTATCCTACGTAATACTCCTAAAAACAAAATCCAAATACCCTCTGGCAACCAAACATGGCAATGGGCAATCCTACATTTATATATGATTGTCCCGTTGGAAACTCCATTTACAGAAAAAATATGGAATATTCCCATGAATCCCAATTATCAGAGGGTAAGTTTCTCTATCTTTTTTGGGGGCATAAAACGGTTTTGCTATATCCCGGCGTATGGCCGTTTTCCCCTCGCCTCCATGATCCGACACATGACCTCGTACCAGCTCAACCATAAGCCAACAGCTCCTGGTACCAGCTGGCTCTGGGCCAGTTTTTGGCATTTTACCCTGGAACCTATGGAATCAGGCAAATTCTCAAACAATCTCATATAATCCAGGTAGAAACAATTAGGGTGAACCTAGCCGAACAAGTCCATGTGCTTTTCAAAGATTCCATCTCCTACTTCCTCTGCACTGGCAAAGACCCTGAAAATCGCCCATTGCAAGAGGACGGTGGTAATCTTCCAACAAACCATTTGGTAAGGTCTTTGGAGGGATGGCAATCATGAACGTGGAGATGATTATCACACTATCCTTTCCCTTTTTACTATCCTCATCATATCTCACTCATTATTGGTTGGATGGTCAAACCGAATCCGTCCCTTCCGTCCGGTTCCGTCTGCACCTGGAGTCAACACGCGCCCCAAGACGAAGTCCGGGGGGTTTTCTGCCTGCTCCCGGCCCTTGCGCGTCAAAATGGTCTCGGGCACAGTGTCAAAGTCCACCTGTTTAGAGGTCGGGAAAATGTTAGACCCAGGAAATGGGGAAAATGAAGCTAGACCCTCAACCTACCCATGACAACTAAATACATTGAACAATTGTAGTTTACCCCATGTGTGAATGCCGTATAGCATCGCCAATCATCAACCATTTGGGATCCAAGTTCTCAATCATCCTAAACTAAGGTACTAGTAACTACTAGTATACAAAGTCATATTCCACAAATTGGGGATGGACTATTGTTGTGTATCACCCCTTGCTACATTCATCGGACCAGAGTTTTCAGGTCGTACACTGGAATCATGGGCCCTATGTAGGGCCCTAGGCTCAAGAGTGGCACTCTGCAAATCATATAAATCATAATCTCCCGTCGTGGTGAACAGTAAAAACCGCAGGGCTGGCAGGGTTGGTCAAACCAATTGTCTCCAATTGGAAACACAGCAGCCGCTAGCAACAAAAGCCGTTTGGAAGATCATCCTAAAGATTGGAACTGGTGAATAACCCTGGCAAGGCTGAACCCCGACCGGTCCACAGTTACCCGACAAAATACATACATGAATCACTGACCAGTGACTATACTAGCTATAAGATGCAACAAAAGTAGGATGATCCCCCATCAGCCCTTGGTCCAGAGTTTCTCTCTGCCTGCGATCCGTCGACTGCAGAAAAGCGCTCACCAAAGTCCTCCAAACCTGCGATCGATGAGTGGAAAAGGACAGGGGATTCAAAACAGTTCAATGGTTGAACGTCACTTTTCCCTTCAACCTATTCATGGGGAAGACTTGCAAATCTCCCTCAACGCCCCAAAATCAACCAATCATCCACTCTCACCTCCTTCTCTTTTTGCATGATCCATCCAGATGTATTTCTTTTGAAAATAAGCTATCAACCTTACCATCACACATTTTCAAATCCCACTTGATCCTGCTCAAATCCAATTTGTTGCTTGCAATTCACTATTTCAAAGGTTTTCCGACATGAATCACCATAAATATCCATAAACCATCAAAAATCCTGTGAAGCATCCATACTGTATCCTCACGGCTTTCATCGTTTTGTTTCTTGTTATTTCTTCCAGCGCCATCACCGGCGCGAGTTACGCCCAGCTGCCAGCCGCTTCCAGTGCATTCAGCTGCGCATCCGCGCGATCTGTGCGACGATCCAAATTGATCCACAGAACTTTGGCCAAGGTTGACATGGCACCGCGACGGCACGACGCAACGTTGGCCAAGGTGGCTCCGGCCAAACGGGGTGCAGGTTCAGGGGATAAGTCCAAATACACCATAATTATTTATATATATATGTATACGTACACACATATATCTCCATACATTTATCCCAATTGCAGTTGGGGTCATCTTCATCCCAATAACAAAATCGGGTAGCTACGGTGAAAAGGGTGAATCGTGAAGCCAGTTATACTGGCGCCTAGGCCAGTTATCTTCTAGCCAGATCAAAGACACAGAGATGCCCACAGAGGGCAAAGGCATAGCCTCAAAAATGGGCTGCTTGGTTGTTCTTGTTGATGCTGTCTATTGTATCCCTGATGGATCTTAATCCACAAACATCAAGGGTCTCCATATGTCTCCATCTCATTTTCCAAAATCTCAGGATGTGCTGCGTTCCACATATTTTTCCATCCTTTTCCCATATTTTTGCGCACAGACATGGCAAGAATCTGTTGATCCCACGATTGCGCCAGCTGCAGAGCCGGTAAACATGCGGGAACTCTTCGGGATGCTTGGATGATCTTGGAAATGATGACATATTTCGGTGCATCGTATATACATACATATATATATATATGTATTATTGTAATGTCAAGTAATGTATGCTTATATTTCATGTATGATTATGAACCATATATGGGATATATATATACATACATTTATGTAGATATTTGGGATACTTGTAGTAGACTGTTATAGCAACAGCTTTACCATTGCCCAGGATGACTGGGTCATTCCAGTGCTCCTGAATGGTGGGTCGCACCTCTGATTCCAGCGCGGCGCCAGGTTGCCGTTTTTACAGACCTCTGTGCGACCCACCACCTGCGCTGGTAACGGAGATGTCTTCAATGGGCTAAAGGCTGAACAACGAAGCAGTTGGAATAAAAAGGAGATTTTTGGAGCAAACATCTGGAGCAGTGGTAGGTGATGGTAGATGTGCTTAATTTAAACTTATATGCATTTAATTATATATAATCTATCATATAGACGGCCCGCACCTGGACCACTGTATATCTACCTGTCTATCTATTCTATTCTATTCTATTCTAATCTAATCTAATCTCTCTCTCTCTCTCTCTCTGTCTGTCTGTCTGTCTATCTATCTATCTGTCTATCTATCTATCTGTCTATCTATCTATCTATCTGTCTATCTATCTATCTGTCTATCTATCTATCTATCTGTCTAATCTATCTATCTAATCTATCTATCTAATCTATCTATCTAATCTATCTAATCTATCTAATCTATCTATCTGTCTATCTATCTATCTATCTATCTGTCTATCTATCTATCTGTCTATCTATCTATCTATCTATCTGTCTATCTGTCTATCTATCTATCTATCTATCTACCTACCTAATCTATCTAATCTATCTAATCTATCTAATCTATCTAATCTATCTAATCTATCTAATCTATCTAATCTATCTAATCTATCTAATCTATCTAATCTATCTAATCTATCTAATCTATCTAATCTATCTATCTATCTAATCTATCTATCTATCTATCTAACTAACTAACTAACTAACTAACTAACTAATCTAATCTATCTATCTAATCTAATGTAATCTAATCTAATCTAATCTATCTACCTATCCATCTATCTATCTATCTATCTATCTATCTATCTATCTATCTATCTATCTATCTATCTATCTATCTATCTATCTATCTATCTATCTATCCATTATTGATATATATATATATTTATGTGCATGTAATATATAAATATATGTGCATGTATGACCATGTAAATTATATGTGACATCATACCACAACGCGGTAAAACAGCTATATATACGTTTTCTTGACCAAAAAACTCTGCTAGACTACTCGATAGTTTCCCATGGTCCCGCATGTATTTTCCATAAAAAAACAGATTTTTTCCGATATGTTCGATGATTTTCCCCGCCCAAAACCTCCATGGATTCGGGGATTATGGGCCGCCACTAGGCCCATCCATGGAAAAACTGCACCTTTTCGGAACCATCTTCATAGCCACACACCTGAGGCCGCTGTGGCCCAGGGCCACAGGGCCCACCGAACGTAACATGGAGAAGACTCCCCTAAAAAAACACAATGAATGTCACAGTCTTTGAAGATCTATATGACTGGAGATTTCTTTATTCTTTTATGGGATCTTAAACAAATACAGTTTGACATGCGTAAAGGCTTTACCGCCTCGCATTTAAGAATGCCATTCTTCCGGGATTTTGGGATGAAAGTTCTTGCTGTTTCAAACAGCGACTGAGGTCAATTCATCCGCATGAAAAGAGCAAAGGGTATCCAGTGCCTTCCGTATCCAGTTGGGCTTCGCACCAGCTGAACAAAGACGTCTTGGTTGGGCTTGAGGCTATCAAAAATACGAACGAGGCGCGCCTGCAGCAGGGACGCAGGGCTCCATGGTGGCCATGGGCGTCTTCTCAGCGTAGCTGTCCCAAGTCATTTTTCTGTCCCAAGTCATTTTTCTGTCCCAAGTCATTTGGTTTAGTTTGGGGCATGACAAGCTTCCCCAAATTGGTACAAAAATTGAAAATAACCGTATACCTGGAAAGCCGTAGTTGCCTATTGTTTCAGGCTACACTGGCCTAATAGTATGCCAATTTTTATGGCATTTTGCAATTCTCACACGCAAAAAAGCATTTCATTTTTTACTGCAAAAATTATAACCGTAAAAGTACCGTAAATATCCGCAGAGCAATAAATATACCCATAGAAATCTTACTCCTAAAATGGAACACTTTCCTCTGACCAAAATTCTGGGCACTTTGGAAAGTGCCCAAAACAATGGGCACTGGGCTTTCCAGGTTTATAAAGATAGAATCTAGTCCTGCTAAAAATTAATCTTTCAACCCCCGGAGTATGTACACACACACAGAGATTTTATATATATATATATATATATCAAGTTTGCAACTCAAACTCCCATTCTGCTAGTAAATATATCATTCCGTCTCATCTTTGTCACTAACTCTGATATTTTGCCTAGAAGAAATCTTCATTTGTGAAACTACCATCTGGTAATTTAACACTTTCCTATTGAACATGGCATTTTCTATAAACGAATTGCCTCTAAATCCTATAACACCATGGTGACTTCCATGATCTTCCATAGCAAACTATTAAATTACCGGTAAATTACCGGTACTTTCCTAGAAAAAACCACAGAGCTCCCGCCTCTACAATCCGAATCTCCAGCTGCGCTGGAACCGACGGAACCGACGGGACCGGCATGGCGGCCATGGCGGACTGGACGGATGATGGATGGAAAAGAACGCCTTGGAGAATAAGGAGAACACACCTTTAAGGTATGCCTGCATCATATGATATCATATGACAGACTTCTCATGTTGAGTGTTAAAATGTGTTAAGAGTCATAAGTATATATATATATATATATTATAACCATATAGATATGACATACAATGATGATAAGAAAACATGTCAGAATGTCTCGGGGTGGGGACCGCTGTAGCTTGCGAGGCACTGGACTGGACAGTGCCAAGGCCAAGCCAGTGTAATGTGGCAGCTGTAGCCCTGCGTGATCCATTGTGATCCCATGTTTGTGGATTGGGGACATTTCAACCGGAAAACTGCAAAGCGCAGTTGCCGAAAAAATGCTGATTCTGTCAAGTTCTGCATTCAAACTCTGGAAAAATCCGGAGTGTTCTCAGCTATTGTACTTGCTGCAGGACCGCAAGTGCACGAGCCGGAGAAAAGCTACGGAAGAAAGAACCTCCATGGACTTTGGTCCTGAAGCGGGAAGTGTCAGTCTTGATTCCTGGCACTATCCTGAGAGAACAGGGATTGGCCCAAAATCGCTGGTCTCTAGGCCTGGATAGTTCATGATGGTTAAAAGGTTAAATACTAACATACGTATCTAAATATTGCACTACCCGTCAGAAACCCATCAGAAACCCATCAGAAACCTATCATTTGAAACTCCGCACCAAAAACGACAGGCAAAAACACAGCTAACAAGGCAACAGTAGCATCTCACATTGAAAACTACAGTGCTTGCATGTGCTTGCAGCTTGCATCTGCTTGCATGTGCTTGCACATGCAGTAAACTGCTGCATTGACAAAAATACTCTCCAAGATTGTCGTCCTGCGCCGCCGTCCCAAGCAGCATGAAAAACACACAAAACAGCCCAATGGGAAACCACGAGACCACAAGAAACATGAACGGCAATTATGAATCTCAATCACGCTTTGGTCTTCCAAAGACTTTGCACACATGACATCCGCAAAGAACAGCGGACAAGAAAGCATATCGAACAAGTGGCATCTCAGTTTGAAAACTACAATGCTCGCACATGCAAGTAGCTGCTGCATCGACAAAACTACTCTCCAAGACTATCATCCTGCACCACCGTCCTAAGCAGCATGAAAAAACAAAAAACAAAAACAACCCAGTGGAAAACCACGAGACCACAAGAAATAACATGGAAATAACAATCATAAATGTCAATCACGCTTTAAATCTTCCAAAGACTTTGCAAACATGACATCCGCAAAAAACAGCAAACAAGAAAGGCATATCGAAAAAGTGGCATCTCAGTTTGAAAACTACAATGCTCGCACATGCAGTTAAACTGCTGCATCGACAAAACTACTCTCCAAGATTGTCATCCTACGCCACTGTCCCAAGCAGCATGAAAAACACAAAACAACTCAATGGCAAACCGCGAAACCACAAGGAACATGGAAACGGCAATCATGAATCTCAATCACGCTTTGGTCTTCCCAAAGCTCTGCACGAGATGCAAACACAATGTCAAACAAAAATACACATTATGAAAAACGTGGCATCTCAGTTTGAAAACTGCAGTGCTCGCACATGCAGTTAAACTGCTGCATCGACAAAACTACTCTCCAAGATTGTCATCCTGCGCCACTGTCCCAAGCAGCATGAAAAACACACAAAACAGCCCAATGGGAAACCACGAGACCACAAGAAACATGAACGGCAATCATGAATCTCAATCACGCTTTGGTCTTCCCAAAGCTCTGCACGAGATGCAAACACAATGTCAAACAAAAATACACATTATGAAAAACGTAGCATCTCAGTTTGAAAACTGCAGTGCTCGCACATGCAGTTAAACTGCTGCATCGACAAAACTACTCTCCAAGATTGTCATCCTACGCCACTGTCCCAAGCAGCATGAAAAACACAAAACAACTCAATGGCAAACCGCGAAACCACAAGGAACATGGAAACGGCAATCATGAATCTCAATCACGCTTTGGTCTTCCCAAGGCTCTGCACGAGATGCAAACACAATGTCAAACAAAAATACACATTATGAAAAACGTGGCATCTCAGTTTGAAAACTGCAGTGCTCGCACATGCAGTTAAACTGCTGCATCGACAAAACTACTCTCCAAGATTGTCATCCTGCGCCACTGTCCGAAGCAGAATGAAAAACACAGAACGGCTCAATGGGAAACCACGAAACCACAAGGAACATGGAAACGGAAATCATGAATCTCAATCACGCTTTGGTCTTCCCAAGGCTCTGCACGAGATGCAAACACAATGGCAAACAAAAATAAAACATTATGAAAAACTTGGCATCTCAGTTTGAAAACTGCAGTGCTCGCACATGCAGTAAACTGCTGCATCGACAAAACTACTCTCCAACATTGTCATCCTGCGCCACTGCACCATGTTTAAAAATAAACTAATACTGACCAAGGGTAACAAACATTGTGCTGGTAGCCTCATGAACTGAAACGAAATGATGTATCAATCATGCAGTGGTTGAAGACGGCTAACACCTTTAGAAGTCGCAAGGGTAAACCACTTGAAGGATACTCCCAACATCGTCTTGTCTCAAAATATGCATTATTGCATTTCTTTCCTAAAACAATAGCAATGTTGTACTGCGATAATGTTCTTTCAGACGTTTTGCGCCCAAACTGGTCACACTTTTGTCCTTTTTCTGCTGGCCTCTCGTCGGATTCGATGGAAGGCCAAACCTCAATAGCGGTTCTTTGGGACTGTGTGATGGTACACTCTATTTACAGTAAAGTAGATTTTTGATGGTGATGTACCATATATATCTATATGCAGACCATACATTACATTACATTAAATTACATTGCATTGCGTTAAATTATACACATAACATAACATTACATTACATTACGTTACGTTACGTTACATTACATTACATACATATATATCTATTACTATATCTATACCTATTATATATGTATATGTATAACTATAAAATAATTATATATGCAAATATGCCAGCAATACATGCGTGAACCTCTGTTGGTTGGTGAGTTCAACCCGTCCAACATGAATTCTTTACTGGAGTATCCGGTGCAGGGTGCAGGGTGGAGCCGGCGCAAAGCCAAGGGAATGGGACTGTTTCATCTTGGGAGGCCAAAAACTGAGGGATTTTGGGACACTCAGTGTGTTTTTCTCGCTCAGCTTCTAGCCATAGACATGCAAACAATATCAATATCAGCAAACCCATCTAATGATTATTGATTTCTCGTAGTTTGCATGGAAATGTCCGACAAATTGGTAGTAGAAATGCAAAAAAAGGCAAAACGAGATTTGTTCTGCCAACCCCCCTACAAAATGATCCATTTTGCGCTGCGTTTCAGGCACCGCCGCCTGTGTCGGTACACTGAAGGGTGAAAACTCAGCGAGGTGCTAGGAAAACTGGTTGCTCCGACAGATCAGATGTTGGAAACAATGTCGATAGGAATGAACTCACATGACTTATTATGGGCGCATGGGTGTGGCCCAAACATGGGGTACCAATGGGTCAAATAGGACAACCATCCTAATATATGAGTCCAGAACTACAGTTGGGCCACACACCGAAATGCACATACAACTAAAATTAAAATATTTTTTTTTAATGTGTGCACGTAGATATATATATATATATAAAATAAAACTTACATCACGCATGTACCAGAAGTACCGCACAAGGCAGTGGCGGAAGTTTCAAAGCTAGGAAACCTATAGGAGAGGTGGGTTGTTCTGATGGTGGACCGACATGTGGTTCAGGCTCTGAGTCTCTCTCTCTCTCTCTCTCTCTCCCTCTCTCTCTACCCTGTCTCGTTCTCTCTGTGTCTCCTTCTCTGTCTCACTGTCCATCCATCTATCCATCTATCCGTCTATCTATTGATCCATCTATCCATCTATTCATCCACGTATTTATCTATCTATCGATCTATCTTTCTGACAATCTGTCCATCCATCTGTCTGTTTGTCTGCCGGCCTATCTATATGTCTATCTGTATATCTGTCCATGTGCCCATCTGCGTATCTATCAACCAGTGTCTGTCTGTCTGCCTATCTGTCTATGTATCTACATATCTACTATCTATGTACTTGTCTATCTACCTCTCTGTCTGTCTTTCTGTGTGTCTGTCTATCCTCTATCATCGTCTATCTATCCATCTATCTATCTCTCTGTCCCACTATCGCTCTAGCTATCTATCGGTCTGTCTGTCTGTCTGTCTCTCTGTCTGTCTGTCGGCGAATCTGTCTATCTGTCTACCCGTCTATCTGTCTATCTATCTATCTGTCTGCCTATCTGTCCATACTTCTATCTGTCTGAGTCTGTCTGTCTATCTGATTGGACTATCTATCTATCTGTCTGTCTGTCTATCTGTCCATCGACTTCCTTCAAAAATGGAAAGCTGAATGCAGAGCTGATGGCCTTGTACCATGTTATTTTCCATCGCCTTCTCAAGGAGTTGGCCAATGTGTTTCGCGATTTTTCCATGCCATCTCTCTAAAATACTGCGCCTGCCAAAAAGTGACGCCAGCTCATACGAGGTGTTGCACCACGCAAAATCATCTCACCAAACCTATTCCAAAAAAACAAAAAAACAAAAAACACAGTGTATCGCGACTTTTCATGACTTTTCTAAATTTTTCGCGTGCTTGGATCGTCTTTCTTGTGCTTCTCTGTTTATTGACTTTTTCTCTTCTGGCTCTTTCTCTTCTCTGACTGCTCTCGCCACTATTGTTGTACTGTATCTGTCCATAAGTCGGAAGTTTGACTTCTAAACTTCCTTCGATAAATACATACGCAATACAAGTGCCAAGCTATATGCTGTATTGCAACGGGTGGTGTGGTGTGCAACCGCCAAACATGAACCATAGGATGCCACGCTGGATCTGCCTTGGGTCAGCCACTTCCATGCTTGCTCCGCTTCAGCAAGTTGCTTGGATACGATGCCCTTTGGCCATGGGAAAAACA